TACAAAAAAAATCAAAGTAGCCCCAGACAAAAGTAAAAAAAAAAAGTTTTATTTATTGTTATGTTGATTTTAATTTTTATTGATTGTCTGTGTTTTAAATGGAACAATGCTACCCATTTCGCCTCTATTAATATCTCTGCTCCACGATCATTTTTAAGGCCCCGTGTTTTCCATAAACATGTAGATGTATACATAATTCATTAGATGTAATAATTCACACGCAAGACATCTGTAAGACATTGTAGATGGTATCTGTGGCTTCATTTGAAGCACATTACACAAAGGGGATATGGATATGCAAATAAAGATGCCACTGCAAGCAAAATGCGCCTAATTAAAACGCCATTAAAGCGACGGATCGGGGATTAGTGAGAGGAGAGTGCGAATATTCGTGGGACTTGGAGGTGGGGGTGACATTTTGTAGAAAGAGGAGAAGTAAGAAACGGCTTTACCTGTACTCTGGACTCCACCAGGTCCAACCTCAAGGCCAGAGCTTCTCGCATGAAGACATCAGGGTAGTGGCTTTCATTGAAGGCTTTTTCCAGCTCCTCCAGCTGCCATCCAGTAAAATTGGTCCTGGTTCTCCTTCTCTTACACCCTGGGCTTTCCTTGTCTGGGTCACAAGAATCTAAATTTAAAAAAAAAGGAACACATCTCAATCAGCTTATCAGAAACATCACCTGCTGTAATTATATTTACACACACTTCAAAATAAACAAATAGGACTATCCATTAGAAGGTCCTTGTGCCACTGATCAAAGCTATTTTATGGCCCATTCCCACGTTTGGGAAGTGGATTTGGAAAACAGGAGAGAAAGTGACCCCCTGCAGTCCCAACGCCTTTCCATCCTAGTTTGTATCTGATTCCCACGGCTTCAGAATCATCCTGTCTTCCTGGTAGACTTATCTAGCTACCCCAGCTTCCTTTTCACCTCATAGGACCTCTCTGAGGGACTATCAGATACTGCTTAGACAAATCAACATTAGCATCACCTACATGGGTTACTAAGTAGCAAGAAACAGTAATAAATCAACGAATATTTTAAATATAATTATAAATATAACTATTGGGTTTGTTTCTATCTCTAAACAAACAAAAAAAATGTTACAATATTTTGAAACAATGCTACCAACGCTTTCTAAAGGATCAATTCTATTATTTTCTTATAATCTGTGTCTACGTGAAACTGCCATGACATGCTGTGCAGGAAAATAACATCTAAGAAAAGGTGAATGTTTACAACCATTCTAGAAGCAGAAATCCCTGTCTTGTTTTCCGGAACACAATGCAGGCTCTTGGATATTTGCAATGCTGAAGTTGTTTGCTTTCTGACACCTCGCCGGCTTTGCTGTGCTGTACACGTGTGTGGAGCATTTTGTGATGCCAAGCACCCCATAAAACGTCATTCCACTGCTCTCTCCCATTTGTTTGAGGGGATTTCTACAAGTGGGGTGTGAATGAACGTTCATGGCTTATGATAAAGGCTCCATTGCCAGTGACAGCAGCTTCTGTACGGTTGTGCTTGCAATGTTTTCATTCTGGGGGGTCACCAGCTGCTGGGTTATCCTATAGGTTATGTATATAGAAGAACCCAGATCCTTTGCATGATATCAAGTGGAGAATCATTGCATATTGGTAACCTCTAGCTCCTTGTTATGGAGAAACTAATTAAATACATTTGTACCTATACTTGCCCAACTATTTAATGCACCGAGCATTGCTCTGTTTTTAAATATTATATTTGTTCTATTTGCATGGCATTATATAGTTATTTGTATTAACATTACATTTTATATGTCCCACACTGGATTACATGGACATAATATAAACAGGTGTGTTATTATAAACATATTCAGACTTCCTCTGGGTTAAATGAACGCTACAGATATATATGCATTCATCTATATGATGAAATCTTCTATCCACATCAGCTTTTTGTTATATAGGAACAGTTTACACGTGGGTATAATGTAATATAACCTTACACTAGAGCACCTTGGGTTATATCAGGCTCTGTAAAAGTATGGAATTGTTATTAGTATCTATTCCCTATCTAGAGCCCCATCGGGTATATATACATTTAATAAATACGTTTATTTTATTTATTGTATGTCTAAAGCACGGCTAGGCTATACAGAATATATACTGCATGTATCTAAACAACATTTTTGCTATGCATACAAATATATATATTATAAATTGCACATCTGAAGCCCTGAACTCCATGTAGAGGGGGTATTATATTATAGTGTATATCTGGCGTTCAGCGTTCGCCAGGATGATCTAAGCAATAGTAAATACATAGTAAGCCCAGAATTCCTTACCTGACAGCTTATACTGCTGATTGTCTCCATTCATGACACATCCAGAGGGGATCAAGGAGTTCGGATTGACCACAGAGGCAGTGCAGGAGCCGTTCAGTAATCCGTCTATAGAGAAGGGGACGGCGGATGCAGACTGGAGCTGGTGGCTGGCTAGCTCGTACACATGGTGGTGGCCCAGAGGGTAGGGGAAGCCTACCATCCCACTCATGGAGCCTCCAAACTGGGCATGAGGATGCTCTAGAATCCTACTGTCCATCATCTCCCTGGATAGAGGTGCCACAGCTGAAGGGCTGCTGCTGCTGCTGGGACCTTAGTAAGCATGCAGTGGCGGTGACCAGTGAGGAGGGGACATGCTACAAGCCCAGGATGAGCTTTACTTTATCAACATCAAGCTTCCAATAATTAGCTCAGGCTTGGGGAATTTGGGACCAATAAGAAACCTTAATCGGCCGTGACGTCAGAGACGTGGCTTGCAAGAACCATTTTCCATATCGATTGCTAATTATACCTGACATCCACCTCAATAAACAATATCAGGGCTGTCACAACAAGACAAGGGGGGCTGAGATAAGAACTACATCACAACAAGGGGGAGGGGGATGCCAGGAGAGGAAGGGATAGAGAAGAACTTAATGCATCTGATTGATACCCAGCTAAATACTACACACACAGGCTAGGGAGAGCCTCCCCCCTCCTCCTCCCTCTTCCTAAGCACTAATAGATTTCACTTTAAACATTCGCAGGCTTGTTGTAGGGATTTTTCACCAGAAATGCTTCTACTCTCTGAACCTTTAAAGTGATGTTGCTCCAATTACAGAGAGACATTGAGCGGCAAATAGACTGATCTAATAATAGGCGTATTCATCATCCCTGCTTTCCAAAGCTGTCACATTGAATTTAAAACTACAAGGCTTCTCGTCTACTCAAAGCCAATGCTGAAGTTTTTTTTCCTGCTACTCTCAATACAGTATTTAAAGATCTTATGTATTACAGTTATGTAAAGGTCTCACCTATTGGATGGTGTTTCACCTGGAGTTTATTTATTAATTAATATATATCCTTTTTTATTTTGCTTTTTATTTTAAGTATATTTATACATCTATTTGCTCAGCTGAAATGTTATACTGTTAACCCCTATAGTTGTTTATGAAGAGTCTAATTTATCCAGGTCATGGTATAGCTGGTAGTACTCCGCTACATGAAAGTGGACTTGTCCTGTAATGTCCAGTTGAATTACTGTTAAATTCTAATGTTTATTGTCAAACTAGTACTAGTGATACTTCACAAACATACTCATTGCATTCAAACTTCAACTTTCTTTTTCTTTTTTTTTTAGCAACTTGGGCTAACAAACAAATCTTTTAAAAAAAAAAAACACCCCTAATAAAAATATTAATCTTCCAGTTGATGTCGACCTCACTAGATAAGACCCACTCCACTGAACGCCAGCTTTTATTTTATTAATAGATAGGTGAACTCACTACTTTTACCAATTCACATATTAAAGGAGCTGTGCTGTTCAATTCCAAGCTCTGTTCAGTGTTCAGGTTCTGTTTCATGGATGTGGAAAGGCATATGAGGTTTTCCTGCGAATAACAAGCGACATTGACAGATTTCAATACCCTTTAACTTTTGTCTTTAATGAATTGTGATTTATTTATCTGTAATGGGGAGAGAGTCCATTAAATTGGCTGCATTTGTCAGAGATCAAAATACTTTTTTTTAACCACGCTCAGAAGGGAACGGAGTATAGGTTTATATATATATATATATATATATTTTAAAAAAGCCCATCATTCTTATTTTTCATTTCCAGACTTGAAAAAAGGCACAGAAGTGTAAATATTTCAATTACATTGGAAAGAGGATAAGAGGTCCGAATCTTTCTTTTTAGGCTCAGCCTAAAATGTACCCCACTGTTTTGTGTATCCAGGGAGATGGGCTTTATTGGCAGGCTTAGATATTCCACCAGATTTCCCTCTTATCACTAGATAACCAGAAAATAGATGACCCAGAAGAGGATAGGGAGATTGCACTGCACTGGAATAATGCAGATAATAAATAATATAGAAGGAGTTTACCTGCTCTTCTTAATACACTGAAAATGGGCTCAGATTGCATTTTATTTCTATTTTAGGACGCTGGCTGACTTAAAGTTCGGTAATAAAATAGAGCAAACTCTTTCTGCATGGGCATTATCACATTAGACTTGATTTGACACACATATATTCAAAAAGCATACTTGTGACAAAGAAAATATTGTATCAACCTTAACACAAGGGAGAATATAAGTGAATAAAATGTTAAAATAAGTCATAAATAGGGTATGAAATCCGAGGGATTGTTTTTCTACAAAGTATTCCTTTAGTAAACCAGCCCCATAGTTAATTGAATAGGCCATTTCCTATATGGGCTATGGATTTTAGAGAGGCATTATTGCCTAGGCTTTGGGGTTTAGATACAAAAACCGGAGTTTATTACAAAGCCAGAGCTAAAGAAACGGTGTTGGTATTAATTTTCAGGTCAGGGGCCAAGGGCCTCAGTTTTCACCATAATTTAATTTCTTTCTCAATAAATACTAAATGTAAACTGTGTCCTTTGGACCGCATTTTGCCTGTGGCAATAAATGCCTCATTTTCTGTTGGACTTTTCAGGAGAGGAATGCAAGAAGGAACGTGTGCCTGAATACAGAATGGTAATCAAGCTTCAGAGAAAAAAAAAAAAGAAACAGGACTTTTTCTCTCAATCTCCCTCTCTCTCTCTCTTTATTATAAAGAAATTAATTCGACTTTATTTATCCCATTTTCTCAAGCTGACAGAATGTTAATTTGAGTTGAAATTTCTCTCGCCTCTCACTCCCTGACCCCTTGCACCCAGATTGGCGTGTTGTAATAACCTGAATCTTTCAACAGAAGCCTCGATAATTGTTACCTTATTAGCATGCAAATTGTTTAATTAATATTATTATGAAGAAGCATATAATCCGTCCCTCACTTGACCTCGAGTCCACATAGCAACTGCCTTGCTGCATTTCAATGTGTACATTTTTTTAAATCGACTCTGTTTGAATGTACCAAGAAGCTTTCATATAAGATCTCTTAAATGTTTTTTTGAGAGCCGCCTTTAAAGGAGAAAGAGCCTTTGATGGAGCCACAGGCTCCTCGTATCTCTTTCTGTGCCTTTCAATCTAAACACAAGTCAGGCAAGTCGTTTTATTCTCCCTTTTATTGTTATTTTTTGAACATCAAAATTTAATAATTGCCTCCTTGTCAATTGGGGTTTTTTTTTCTTCTCTTTCTTTAAATGCACCCCCTTGAATCCTGAGTGCTGTTTCAAGCAAACAGACTCGCAGCAGCTCAATGAAAAGCAGCCCTTGACATCAAGTCCTGAGAGACACTGCATTTAAATCCCTTTTTCTGCAGCCGAGTGACATTGTCAGATGCTGCCTTTAATTAACTTGATAATAAGACGTACAAGGCTCGGATTCGGGAAGGCTGTGCGAGGCGGCTTGTTTCTGCTTTTATCGCAATCTGCTTGTTTTATCTCGCTCACAGAGAATCCTCATGGCTTATGCTAGCGCTAAAGTCTGACTTCTAGCTGGGCTTCTATGTTCTGTCCCGTACACGGCCTTGCTAGAAAGGACACTGCATACTCCAGCTTGGGCTCCTATGTCCCCTCTACATTGGGGACATAAGCTCTTTGTCCACACAACATAAAGTACTGATGTCAATTTGGAGTCATGTGCCCGCTTCAAGCTCCCTATAGGGGCAGTACTAGGTGTATATCCAGCATGAAAAGGGACAGCAAAGACTTCTACCTAGTGTCCTGTATCCCAATAACACAACCTATCAGGTGAAGGAAGGACAGAAGTTGCATGTCCATTATACACATCATGTAAGACGTAGTACAGATGTCTATTTGGAGTCATGTGTCCCCTTGAAAGTCCCTATAGGGGCAGTAGGTGTTTATTCGGTATGTAAAGGGACAGCAAAGACATCTACTTAGAGTCCTGTGTCTCATTCACAAAATCTATAGGGTGAAGGAAGGACAGAAGGTGTATGTCCACTATACACAGCATGACAGGGGCAGTACAGATGTCTAGGTGGGGGTCACATGTCTTCTTCACAGTATAAGGGCAAAAGGTATATGTTTAGTATACACCGCATGAAAATGCACAGTATAGAGGTCAACTTAGCTTCCCGTATCCCCTGCACGCAACCAATTAGGCCAGAAGGTGTGTATCCACTATACATTGCATTAAAATGGTCATAAAGATGTCTATTTGGAGTCATGTGTGCCCTTTAAACTCCCAATAGGGGCAGTAGGTGTATATCCAGTATGAAAGGGACAGCAAAAACATCTACTTAGTGCCCTGTGTCTCATTCACAAAACCTATAGGGTAAAATAAGGACAGAAGGTGTATGTCCACAATACACAGCATGAAAGGTGCCGTACAGATGTCTAGCTGGAGTCACATGTCTTCTTTACAGTATAAGGGCATAAGGTATATGTTCAGTATACACAGGATGAAAATGGACAGTATAAAGGTCCTAGTTGGGGGTCTTACATGCAATGTATACAATCTGTAGGAGAAAGGAGACACTGTGAAATCCTAGGTCCTACATATACTGCACAGCCTAGGAAGGAGTCTTCTAACTGTGGCCAAAGGTCCATCCCATCTGTATTGCTAGGCGAGAGCCTATGTCTCACATATACAGCCCTATAAGGGCACTGCAGACTTCTAGTTAGGGGCCTTTGTCTCCTATATAAAATCTATAAAAGAAGGGAAACGCTGATTGTTATATGTAAAATTCTGGGTCCCACATACACAGACTAAGAAGGCGATAGAATCCTATAGTAAGGTCCTATCCCGTTTTTTTGCTAGGTGAAAGCCTTAAATACACAGCCTAAAAAGAGCACTCCAAACATCTAGTTGGGATCCTGTGGTCCTTCCTCAAACCTATGGAAGAACACTGATTGCTAAGTGAAATCCTATGTCTCACTTACATAGCGTAGGGAGTTGAGTCTTCAAGTGCAATGTCCCACCCTCATCAACAGCTCGAATGGAAAACAGTTATGTCTTCTAGATGTGGTCCTGGTTCTCAGCCTTTTAATACCTCCTAGGAAGGTCAATATAAACTTCTAATTTGGATTTACTGTTGCTATTGCTATACATATAACTATAGCAGAAAATGAGTATAGCATTATACGTTAAATTCTATGCCCTTTATCCTATACATCATGGAGGGAAAAGGTCAGTCTAGATTTCTAGTTATGAGTGCTGCGTTCAGTTATGTATATACCAGTAAGGAAGAGCTGCACATATATCCACCTGGGGTCCCAATTACCCTATATACATATGTACCCTATATACTTCCACCTGGAATCCTGTATAACCCCTATATACTATAGGGACTTAAAGACAAAATGCCAGATAATGTCCCTTTTCCCTTGTACAGAACCTAAGAAATGTACTGCAAACATCTACCTGAGGTCCTATGTCCACTACATATATCCTACACAGGAA